TGAGATATCCAGGGTCCTTATAATGTGCATATGCTGGAGTGCTGATCCAAAAAAACAGAAACACCAAAATCTTGTGTGACAAATGTCTAGGTAGACAGTAGGGAATGCTCAACCTGAACACCTGAGTTTTCTTGAAAATCTTTGGTCCTGAAGAGCCAGATTCAGAGTCTTTGTCCGCTCAGCATGCGGTATATACTCCAGGGGATAGAGCACTGCTTGGAAGAGCCGAGCAGGGCTCTTCTTTAAAGGGCACCTCGCTGAAGATATCGTGGTGCTTTATTCATTAATTTAGTGCTCAGGGAACTCTCTCAGGCAGTGGTCCCCGCACCCCCCTACAGCTTTTGCAAAGCCTGGGAGAGTGTGGAGTGGGAGGTGAGCTGGCTGGCCTGGAAGAAAGGGGAAGAGCTACAGCATAGAACAGATTATGTTACTCATGGGACTAGAAGAGCGTGGAAGTAGGATAGTGCCTCTGCAGACTTACTATTAAGGCAGTAGCCGACCTGCTTTCCAGTTGCTGCCTTTGGAAGGGAAGTAACTGTGTTCTGGTGGGCCAGAAGCCTGCCCAAGGGAGTGCTCAGCCTTGGGCTCGGCATCGTGCTGCCTCTGGTGGTTCTTTGCATGGTTTGTATCACCACTGAATGATGAATGCTTCTAGGTCAGGTTTGTTGTTTGCACGAAGCAGTGTAAAGGTTTTGATCTCTGTCGGACTTGGATAGGTGATTGTCTTGATCCACTTTACTCAGGGTAGATCTGTGAGTGTAAGCAGAGGAGAACTGCAGGCACCTGTAGTCCCTAATGTCCCTGTAGTAGCTTGTGGTATCAAAGACTTGCATTGAGAAGGACTGACCAGGAATTTTTAATGTTACAGCTCTGGACTCAAGTATCAGTTTAGGCATTTCTGTTTTGCCCAAGAAAATGGGAATTTAGTTGCAACCACTTAGATGCAGATTACAATCTTTTCCGTGTTCTATTTTTTCCTTTTTTTAATCTAAAAAGCACAAATACTTTGGCGAAATGCATTACTGCCCTCTATTCGAGTAGGATGAAGGCACTTCTTTTCCTGATTGCTCTCTGATTCCTACATGCAATATTGTGCACCTGCCCCGGAGCAGTCACATACCCATGTGGTCACCTTCATCACTTTTCAATTTTGCCTTCCTTCACATTAACATTTACTGCTCTTTTTACAGCAGTCTCTGCACTAAATACTCTGGAAAGCCTACTAATGCTAATTACTTCCAAATAGTAATTGTAATTTTAATGGTAACCGCAGTAAATTGTTTTTATGTAAATTGCAGTTTAATATGAATCTTAGAGAACAGCGATAGTTCTTCCACTCCTTCTATGTATTAGGCACATGAATAAGAAGTTGCTAAGATCCTCTGATAATCCCTTCTAGTGAACCCTGGGGTTAACAGGAGTTGTAGAGATAGCCAGGAGTCTTACTAGGTGAAGACATGAAATGGAAATCCAAAAAAAGATGAAAGATTAGGATGAAGAGAGTATTTGAAAGAGAGTGAAGCACAAGGAAGATCGTACAGGGCAGAGGAAGCCCTATTAAAATTTAGAAACATCTCTGGATAAAAGAACAAAGTGCTTGGCTGGCTCCTTTCTGCTCCTTTTTCCATGGCTGAACAAGAGCTGAGTCCAGGGCTGCTGCAGCTATAAAAACGATGAGCCAGGGAGGGGGAATTCAGGAGATAACAAGTACCAAAGTAGTCGCAGCTTAGGCTACAATTTAGGATCTTCTTTTTATTTCAGTGAAGTTGGTCTAAAATCATCTTGCGTTGCATTCAAGTGTTGGATGCCCAGTAGAGGAGCTGGGATCTGGGGATCCATACGGAGGCAGGTTGGTACCAGCCAGCTGATGGTTGCTGCCCTGGAGTTCCTGCACGTGTTACAGCAGCCAGTTTTGGGGAATCCTAAGCTTGCAGATGTTGGGAGCTGGGAATAGCTCAGCCTGGAGTCTGCAGGAATTTGGCAGCAGCTGAGAGCTGTGTGGTATGGCTGAGATTTCCAAAAAGGACCCAAGGCAATGCAGATTTAAGAGAGAAACCAGTGTGGATGGGGAAATGGTGGTGGGCAGGATGCTCAGCTCAGGCTGCTGGGTTGGGTTGTCCAACTCCATCCCCAAATGGCCCGAGGGAGGAGGGAGCACAAGAAAGATCTCCTTACACAGACCTTTCCAAAGGGATGCTGGCAGGAAAAGGAGCTCTGGATTAGCTCCATTTGCTCTTAATGTAGTCAGTACCTAGCAAGAGCCAAACTTCTGCCTGTCTTAATAATTTAAGCTTTGCAAAACAGGAGTGGGGTGATATTTTGACGTTATGTATTACTGCTGTGTAAGTAATCTCCAAAAACATTCTCAGTATTCTTAACTATACTTACCACAAGACGCAGGAATAATTACATTGTACTTTTGTAATAAAAACTAAAGCACGAAGTGTGTTCTGGTTTGTAAATTTTATATTAAAACATGATTAAAAAGCTTGGGAGAAGCTAACTTTAATGAGAAACATTTGTTTAGACAGTCGTATTTAATTCAGATGCGGTTGATGCAGATCTTATATGTACTGTACGCTAGTTTGGATTTTAAAAGGTAGAAATGCTTTGTATAATGTGATAATAAATATGCCAGAGTCAATGGCTAGAGATATACGTATCAAAATAGAAAAGGCAACTGGCAAATAGCTAAATTTAGCAAGTTAAACCATAGATAAGTTCAAAACACAAAACAAAAAACCTGGTCCCAGTTCAGAGGTGATGTGTGCAGGAATGTGAGTCTTGGGTAGATATCAATTATGCAAAGGATATGAATGAACGTAAGTATCAAGGTGGATTTATGAACAATTTGCACCCACTGCAATTTTCATTCAAGATAACTTTCTTTGCTGTTTATGTTTTCATTGATTTTGACTTATGCTCTATATTTAAAGATTCATTAACCTGTCACTTCTGATTTTTAAGGTGCTCATATTCACAATGCTTTTTAAATCTGTAGCAACAATTACTGTATGGTGGATCCTTAATAGAAAACATGTATATGATTCTGGGCAAAGGGCTGTAGAGCCTGCTTTATTGACTCTTGGATATTTGTAAAGAATGTTTTATAATGTATCATAGAGTAAGTTGTTATCTGCTTGTGTTGGTATGCCGTATTTAGAGCTCCTCCACAAAATATTTTTTTAAAAAGTAGAATTCAGCAGTTGTCTTCTAGGCACAAAATTACCATGTAATTACTCTGTAATCACATAGTAATTAGAGTATGCTATTCATATATTACATAATTACATGCCCTGCAGATTACATGGTAATTATATTTGTACTTAACATATAATTCTCTATACTGTATTACAGGAAAAAAATCTTCTGGAGTTCACAGTTAAGATTATAGTTATGTGTTAATGTAACACAACATTCTATATAACAGTGTTAGGATTTTATGAGAGTGATGTATTTTGGATATGCTATTTCTTCTGGATCTGGTGCTATGTAAGCTGTGGAAAACCAGTATAAGAAGTGCTCAGACGTGGTAATTTATAGTAAGATGCTGCATCTTTCTAGCTTTGTAATTTGCGACGATAAGCAAACAGTGGTAGTTTATTGTTCAGGATACTGATATTGGGAAGGATTTAGAGTGTGAATGTTAAATATACAAAAACTAAATATTCAAACCCACTTAATGTAATTATGGCATATTGCTAGAATGAGAAACAAATCTAATGTATGTCACTTATGGTGTGGGTCATTTCTGGAGGTGTAAATAATGTGAGATAGTAGCAAGTGTTGTATTCATGCCAGTCTTAGGCACTGCAGCTGCAGTAGCTCTGAGCACTGTGCTGGCCAAGCCACAGCATCTTTCTCTGCCATGAGAAAGGGAGAAGTTTTACATCCTTATCTGCAATGTGGGAGATGAATGGAGAGAAGGGACATGGAGGTGCAAAAGGGCCTTGAATTAAGTTTTTGGAATAGAAAATTACTTGCTATTTAGCAGTAGGAAGTTACTGTTTTCTTTGATCTGTGACATTGGCATTCCAAATATCCACAACAGCATTAAGATTATTCTTAATTGAATATTGCACTCTAACATGAGTTGTTTTTATTTTCAAGCAAAACATATATTGATTATTGATTATAAAATTTAATCTATAACTACAGTCTTACCTTTTATGTGAATATTTTTCCTATAACTTGTAGTGTGTCACCTGTATATATGTTTGTGTGTGTAAAAGAGAGAACATACTCCTTGTTCACATGTATTTCTTTAACAGTCACTTGTTAATTTTATGCCAGCTTCTTCAAAGCTTGTAAACTTCATAAATACCTCCAGGGTTTAGGTGATATCTGTAAACTTTATAGGAATATCTTGAACAAAGCATGGGTTTTACAGGCCTTTTGGGTGGCATTAGCTCACATTTATGGGACTACGCTGCTTACCTTTCTGGCTGTGCGGGCTGCTTGGTACCTCAAAAGCTGTAGTAAGAGGCATATGGCTTTTATATTCTGCAGAGTACACAAATTAAATTTAAATGTTATGCAGCTCTATCAAAACTCAGAATGCCATTTCTACTGTGCAAGGGAAAATTAAGATATCACAGAGAAACTGGTTTGGAAAACCAACGTGAGGAACCCGTGTTCTCACTGTGTGCTTGTGCAATAGGCCAAATGTTTCCCTTCCAACTTACCCGTGATTTGACAGCTTTCTAGTGGGACCAAGTCTTGCACAATATTCACCCTGGATGTCTGCCACAAGGCCGATAAAGCACAGCCTGCTTCGTGTAATCACGTTCATTTGCCAGCCTACTGATCTTAACGCATGCTTGTGTTCTTGCTCGCTTGCTAAACCATTACCCTAAAAAACACAAGCACTGGTCACAGTCTCTTGGCACTGGGAATTTTCCGTGTAACTCAGGATCTCATTAGCACTGAAATAAACACGAACGTCAAAGCACAGTGTAAATGTGACGCATTTCTTACTGCTGTTGTGTTGTTTTTTCTAGTGGAGCCAGTGCTTTCAAAGGGGAACAATTGCTTGGATGCAGCCAAAGCTTGCAACCTAAATGATACCTGCAAGAGGTACAGATCTGCTTACATAACCCCCTGCACCAGCAGCACGTCTAATGAAATCTGTAACAAGCGGAAGTGTCATAAGGCCCTCCGGCTATTTTTTGACAAAGTTCCCCCCAAGCACAGCTACGGGATGCTCTTCTGCTCCTGTCGAGACGTAGCCTGTACAGAAAGGAGACGGCAGACTATTGTTCCTGTGTGTTCATATGAGGACAGGGAGAAACCAAACTGCCTGAATTTACAAGAATCCTGCAAGAAGAATTACATCTGCAGGTAAGATAGCACATGGCAGGGGAATGATTAATGAGGTACCAGAAAGAACTTTTTGGTACTGCTGGAATTGCCAGGACCGAGGGGTCAGAATATTCGCTAGGGAGGAGGAAAAGACAGGGAAAAAAGCAAAAGGCTGTGACACCTTTATCAGAATAACAAAAGCATCTGGTTACAGTGTGTGCCCCCTCCAAAACCAGCCACAGCTACTCACACTCATTATGGAAGAACTTTAAACCCCCAGGAAAGATACCCAAACAGAAATCTGTTTTTTACGGATTTTTGTTGGAAACCTTTTCCTTATGTGTTTTCATGAAATGGTATCTCAGAATGATTCTTATTCCCCACTAAAGACCAGATGAAAATAGAATTATTCATTATAGTGAGGTTTATTTTCCTTGTAGCCCTGAATGTGAGCACCAGTAACTCTGTCTGTGACCACAAGCCCCTCGTGGAGCTTCACATATATCGTCATAGTGCACAGGCTGTTGCAGGGAAGAGGAGGAGTTCTGCATGGAAAGGAAAGGAGCCCACATTTGTGGACCAGCCTTCTACTATCTGAAGACCTATTTTAGGCTTGGGGTTGTTTTTTCCGCCCTTCCCTGTCTAAAGTGCTTGGCTGCTCCAACTGGAGGGTCATCAACTCAGTGACCGAATTCCCAGCCTTTTCCCCGCTCTCTGTGCTCGGAGAGCGCTGCTCCTAGGATAACCCAGGTCCCTGGCTTTTAACAAGTTCCATGCAAGTTGTCACAGCCTCCTTATTCGGTGGCATGCAGAACCCTCTGTGCCCTGAGGAGATGCTTTGGTCCTGCTTTGCATTGTGTATGTTTATATAAGAATGCTGTTGTGCTAATGTCATATTAATGAAGTTGTGAAGTTGCTTATGGATCATCAAATTCTGTGAATTGGCAAGGACTGGGAAAAAAAAAACAAAAGCACTGTTTTGATATGTCAAGGACAGTAAAGTTATGTTTGTGTGTACCTTGATAAATAGTTACAGGATGTGCCTTGTAAAATAGCTAGACTTTTAAATATGAGTTCCCTCCTCCTGATCTTAGACTTTATAGCAGCTTCACAGGTACTGCTATTACACTCTATATAAGTTGGGCGTGAGAACTTTATTTAGTTATTTTGCTTATATTGTCTTCCCTATATACATACCCTTTTAAGCAGCACAATGACAGTATCTTTACTGTGTTTCCTGGAAAGATTCCAAATTATTACAGTGCCAGTGAAATTGGGGAGAGGATTTTATAGGGAGAGTTCTTCCTACTACTCAAGCTGTAATGGTGTCAGGAATTCCTTAGCTAAATTAATGCCAGTGCTTCTCTTTTGATTGTATTTTCTGTTGGTCAGCTTTGCTCTTATGTTATCTCAGCAGCTAATTTTTTAATGTCATTTTATTTAATTGGACTTTATGAGTCCTGCGGTTGTGTTTTTTCCATTCCAAAGCTGCAGAGGCAAAATGTCTGCTTGGTAAAATGTCTGTTCCTGGTGTCCAGAGCTGCAGCCAGCGCTGGGGTGGCATGGATTGCTTGAGGATCCATTTAGATCCTATAGGATCTTGCTTGGCTTCTTCTCTTCAAGATGCTCTTTCAGGGCTCAGGGAGGCCTGGCTGTTAGAGGGACAGCAGAGGCACAAGGAAAGTGGCCAGATGCTTGTGGGAACAGGAGATACACCTGGAGATACAATAAATATGATGCATTGCAGAGAGTCTTCTTAGGTGGACATTAATTCCTCTGAGGTTGTCTAAAGCCCTGGTGTGTTTAGTACCTCTATCACTACTGTCATGGGGAGGAGAAATCAGCCCTGGTGAGACTCAGTCCGTGCACTCACAGGGAGCCACTTGTGATTTTTCCCCTTGGTTTGCAGGAAAACAGGGATTCGAGGAGGAGAGAAAGGAAGGGGAAGAGGAGTATTAGCATGGGTAAATATCAGCCTACATAGTAATTCTGGATGTATTTAGAGTAATGAAAAGCAGTAGCCACTAGGCACATAATTTAGACTCAGATAACTTCAATTTTATTTTGAAATCAGAAAGAATACCTAAATGAGTGAATAATTTGTGAATGTGTTTTGACTACTGTGAAACACAGTCATTTAGAAACCATTATTTGCTTGCCTATTACTTCCATTACATCTTTCTCTTAATGTTAGTTAAGGGGGATAAATTGTAAAGAGCCTCTGAAAGGGCTCTCTCATGAACGCTGCTTACTCAGAAAAGCAAGATTTGTCTCTGCCCAAACTCATGTATAAAATATCCCATAGGCCTATGCAAATGTGTGTTTAAACCTTCAGTTTTGGATGCTCTTTAAAAAGCTTTGCCCTGGATGCACACATCACTGAATCTGTTTCAGAAACAACAATTTTTCAAAGATTTTTCAACAGGGAAGCAATTCAGCTAAATGGCAGGTACCACCAAGTCGTTACTGAGAGAGTTGGACAGTTTGCTGCTGGTTTTTTTTTTTAATATTCATTCATTCATTCATCTGTTATGTAACATAAATTCTTGATCGAGGGAAAAAGGGGCCAGAAATGTCAAGAAATGCAAATAGGTTCCAACTTACGTAAACCCTCCTAATTTTTGAACTTCATCAAAATACTGAGTGGGTATCCCAATTTATCCTGCTTTGGAAGATACTGGAGTCTGGAGGTATGTCTGTCGGTGCCAACTGAAGAAAAAAAAAAGAGCCAAAAAAAGAAGCAGTTAGACTTTTTTTTTTCCCCATTATAAATATAAACAACATTTCTAAGAAAAGTCAGTGTACTGTCAAATACTTTCATGATCTGTGTCATCCTGGAATAGGTCAGACATCTGACTTCTATTCCGATTGCTTCAGCCACCACTTAAACATCTGAAGTTTGACTGGCATATTTTAAAAACTCTGTTCTGCTGTAAATAGAGTAGAATACAGGAAATACAGAAGAGTGTGCTTCATTTTTTTTTCCAGTATCACATTTGACAGTATTTCAGAATAACTCTTTTCTTTGAGTATTGGAAATGTGAGTCATTAGTTTGGTGTTAGTTTTAAATTTGCGTATATTCTCTGTTTTCTTAACACAATCATTAAGAAGCTGATCAAAATGATAGCAATACAGACACACTGTTTATTAAAAGAACAGAAAAATTGGACAGTATCAATAGGGTTATGTGATGTAAAGACCTGAAAGGAGTAAGACTTTTTGTTGTTGTTGTCAGCTAGTCATCTAGTCACAGAATGTAACTTTCTTGTCCTCCTTGGTGACTGACTATACTTAAAATGATTAGTCAAAGCATTTGGCTTATTTTAAGTGTGAAGCAGACAGATTCCTGACTAATTTCAGAAACCAGCCACTTGGGCTTTTTTTTTTCTTAGCTAAAATCAATATTCCTGAAGATTTGCCTTTAGTTTTGCAGTTAGTGCATGTTACTGACTACCAATACGTGGTATTGGAAGCAAAGATAAAATGGTAGATAAAATGTTTTGCCATGTGCTGTCTGAAGAACAGTAGTGAAATACCCTGTTAGTTTTCAGTGGAGGTGTCATTGCACTGAAAACTCAGTATGGAGACTTTTGCTGCTAGATATTTGGAGAACCACATTTTTACAAATGTATTTTCATTGGCACGTTCTTATAAACACTTGTGGCATTGGAAGCAAAGATAAAATGGTAGATAAAATGTTTTGCCATGTGCTGTCTGAAGAACAGTAGTGAAATACCCTGTTAGTTTTCAGTGGAGGTGTCATTGCACTGAAAACTCAGTATGGAGACTTTTGCTGCTAGATATTTGGAGAACCACATTTTTACAAATGTATTTTCATTGGCACGTTCTTATAAACACTTTTAGATTCTGCTGTCAGCATCTGATCACCAGTATCTGCCCAGCTGTGCTACCCAGTCTTAATTTTGATGTAACCACCTATTCAATATCTGCATCTACGGGTATAAGATATGCAGACATTTCCATCATTGCATAAAAGAATCCAAGTACAGTAAAGACAGAAAAAAAGCTCAGCTGCTTGCTGTGTTTTCTGAAAAACTGAGAAATTACTTTTCCTTCTTTATATTGGACATTTTTAATGGCAATCTGCCGAGGGCAGGTACCATCTCTGTGCCTGTTTGTTAAAGTGCCTTTTCTGTGTAAGACTTCTGAGTGGTCCTGGAATGCTGTAGTCCAGCAGGAGAAACATGCCTTTTGCTTGAATTTTTCTATTGCTTAGAATCTTCCATTTTTCTCACTTCTTCCCTTGCTTTCCTTGCCTGCCTCTCCCTTTGCTTAGTCTCCTTTCATCTCCTTTTTTCTAGCTCTCCCGGTCTTTATCTGACTTTTACTGCCTCTCTGACACATTTGAATTCTCTCTATTACAGGCACTTCCAGTCCCCCCACCTGCTCTCCTGCGTGCTGTTCTTTTCCTCCCTAATATCCTGCCACAGCCCAGTGATCATCTGTAATTCAGGAGATGAGAGGAAAACATCGGAGCTGCCTCCCTCCCTGAGCCTTGCAGCTTATGAGAGCTACAATTCAGCTGGCTGGCTCCTGAGGTTGACTGCTCCATCTCAGGCCTCCTCTAGCTTTAGGTGTTGAAAGGACTGGGTATTTTTATGAAGGACACAGTAGCTTTATACCCGTCTATAGAGCAAAGCTGGAGTTGCATCCTTGACGGGTATTTATATCAGCTTGGCACTGGGAGCTGTCTGGCAGCTCCTTCAGATGGTTGTTTTTCTGTGGGTACACAAAAGCAGGACAACAACGTAGCTTTTGTAATGCTGTTAAGGGCATGGAAACGGGGCATTCTGGATGTCTAGAGGCAGGCGGGCTGTGTCTATGTTGTGTTTTAGCGGACTGAGTCAGGGAGTGGGCGAGAGGCCTCGTGTGCGGCCTGACTCACCCTGCGCCGGGCGCAGGAGCCCGCGGTGTCACGGGGTTAGTCAGGGCTCAGGCCACCTACGAATCCTCGTCACACCAGGGCCTGGTGAGCTCAGGCCTCATGGGACCAAGTGGGAGAGGAGAAGCAGCATAA